TTGGTGTGTTTAATTATCCTGGAACGTTTTTCCTGTGTGTCATAATGTTTGTTGATGCATGTAAATAATTAGCTTCCCCCATCTCACCCGGAACAGGAACAGAAACCGGGTATTGCAGAACAACAGTAAAAACAGAACCAGCTTCTGAAAGTACCTGCATGGAGAAAAGAGGGGCTAGGAAAACTGAGGATATGACAAACTTCATGGATGACTTAACCCTCAGCTCACCGAAGAAAAGAGAGTCATCTTTGAGATCCAAGAGAAGTTGTGATAGGTCGTCAACAAGGTCATCTAGCAGATCCTCTTGCAGTTCACGGTCCAGTTCAAGTAGTTCCTCTTCAGCTTCTTCCAGGAGCTGGAGCCGGTCCAGATCAAGGTCATGGGCTAGAAGAAATGGTTCCCGAAGGTACAGAAGATACTCTCGTTCATATTCCAGAAGCCGGTCCAGATCACGGGGCTCCATGAGATACCGAGGAAGGTACCATGCCAGACACTACAGGAGGTACCACCGCTCTCCTCCTCGGTACAGATCACGCAGTAGGTCCTGGTCTCGTGGAAGATCGTATTACAGAAGATCCTATTCGAGAAGCAGATCATGTTCAAGAGGACGAAGATATTATGGATTTGGGCGAACAATATATCCTGAGGCTTACAGGAGCTGGAGAAGCAGGTCACGAACAAGATCTCGGAGTAGGTCACCTCTCCATTTGAGTGAAAAAGGTAAGTACCTTGAGACTTCCATTGTGTGAGAACTTCAAAACATGCAATTTATACTCACCTTAACCAGTCAAATTCTCACCTGTATACTCGGTTTTAAAGCATAACTGATAATGGCAATGTGTAAGAAAATCTCTGCATGGTTATAAAAATATATTAAGAAAAAAAGTTAAGTAGTTCAGAGCATATTCTCTGTACTTTAAATCTCCCAAGTTCTTATGAAAATTCATTACAGCTAATGCTTATGTAGGTGTAGTGATAGTAAACCTGTAGTTTTTAGGCTTGTATGAGTAGGTACATGTTGATTTAAACATTAGAGTGACCTCTCTTTTTTTTTTTTTTAATTTTCCTCTTGTAGAGAAGAGGGAACTCCTGGAAATTGCAAAAGCTAATGCTGCAAAAGCGCTGGGAACAGATAACATAGTCTTGCCAGCAAGCCTGAAGATCCTTACTCCCACCAAAGAGATAAAAAATGAAAAACAAGAGCGTGAAGATGCTGGAGAGTCAGCTGAGGTAGGTATGAACTGGAGTATTCTCAATGACAAGGTAAACACTTCTTAAAACTTGTCATCTGCATGGATATGTTACAGTATTTAACTGTGTAGTTTGATACGAATTACAATGCTTGAAGAAAAATCTCAATTTACCAGAATGCTAAAAACTCCTCTAGACACTCCTGTAGACTTTACGTTAAGCTGAAAGTACTCTGGACTCTTAAGAGGTGGCTGATCCACTGAGTACCTGCGGGCTTTCCCGTAGTGATAGCTTGGGAAGGAGAGGTGAATGTAGTTTGTTCTCTTGAGTTGTTCTTCTATAATAGGATATTGCCCATTAAATCGGCCACTAGTTCATGTGTTTCTGACCTAAAACAAGGAGTCTCCTTACCAAATCTAGTGAATAGTATTTTTTTTTTTAGAGGTTAAATCTTTCTACTTTTTTTAATTGTTAAAAGCTTTTCATGTGCCACAAACTGTTGCCCAGAAATTACATACCCAAGCACACAAATGCATTTTACATACTTTATTTCTGTCTTATAGAAATCATGACTATGGTTCCAGACATGATGAAGAAAATCTGTTGGTAATGAAGGGACTTGTGGGCTGTAGCTGCTGTGAATTTAAGGGAGGGAGAAACTTGAGCAGCTTAATCTGAATTCTAGTTTGGCTCTGTTATAGTGCGTTAACCTGATTGATGGTAAATACAAAACTGCAATTACTGTTACATCGATCAGATACTGCTGTTTCAAATGGAAGTAAATTTACTGAGGGTTTTAGACAAATGGTACAGGCATCCCGTTCATAATATATGCAATATATTCCAGATGTTGAGAGAGTACAGAAGAAGAGGCCTGCATCACTTGCAGATAAGTTTATTGTCATTATCCAAAGCTCTGCAGGATGGCTGTGCAGAGCTTAATGCATCTTATCTACCACTACACTTCATTGTACGGCAGTCCATGCTTGGAATCCTTTGAATCCTTTTTAAAACTGTAACTGGGGCATGGATATCAGGTCCCATGTGAATTGGCACAGTGACATTGGTAAAAACACTGAATGCTTTTCAAATCGAGTTCAGCATTGATCTGTTTGCATAGTTAGTAGCGTACAGCTACTTTTGATGTAAATATCTGAAACAACTCTACCAGAAAGTTGATATTCTCTAGTAACCGCCTTAACTTGCACAAAGTAACATATCCTGCCACCTAAGCTGTGTGCGCTCTTCTCTAGCAACCCAGAAGACCAGGAGAAGACATGACCAAAAGTGCAGTGGAGAGAGCCACCATCCAAAGAAGCATTTCGTTCAGCCCTAATGTAAGTAGTGTAAGATGGGATTCCAGTACTTCATCCCTCCTCTCTTGGGCTTTCCCCAGCACTGGTTGCCAGATTATGAAGATCTTTATGAATAGTAACAAGTTGAATTGAATGGTTTGATAATGACTTTGGTGGAGCAATTGGATCCGTACTTCAGCAGCAGAGCACTGTGGACATACCGCAGCAGTGTGTTTAAAAGAGATGTTTACCTTTCAGTGTGTAATAATGTTGAATGCTTATACCATACTAGAGACTCAAATGTTTGCTAGAGCTGGTTTACACCAGAATTTATTTCACGAGTAACATGCTTGGAATGGATTTTAATAATACAGAACTAAGGAAAAAAGCAGCTTCCCTGAATCCTGTGTCAATTAAGTGTATGAAAACATCTGTTACCAGTACAGATAAAACCCCTTGAAGTTGACAGGTCTTGGTCCGTCCTTTCTCATTATAGCCTTTTAAAGGTAT